AAAATGAGCGCACATTGTGCGACGAAGCCAAGCCGAGCTGCAAGATCCACATGCATGCTGCCTGGGTGCGCTGGTGGTCTCGACACGAAAAGCGGGCTCTTATCGTCTTCAGGAATTTCGCCTGTGAGCGAGTCTTGAGAGAAGTGTGCCGTGTGCAAAATGATGCTGCTACTGCTGCTGCTGCGCCAGTTTGCTGGATGGTTGCTGTACTGATTGTTTTATCATGGATCAGTGCGAGGAAGCGTTCATCTGCGCCATCTCGAAGCAGCCCTCGGCCAGGTGCGACGAGGTACGTGAATCGCATGCCAACAATACGTGTGTGCGTGGCGGTGGCGTGTGCGCAAAGACACAGCCTGTCCCTCTTCAGCACTGAGGGACCGGCCTCTTCGGCAATCGCCACTGCCATCACATTTTGCCCAAAATAGCGCCCTCATCATTAGATGCAAAAAACACATATGTTATTGACCTGCGTGCATATGCGTGTGTATTTGCATGTGTGTGTGTACGTATATGTATGTGTGTATGTATGTATGTATGTATGTATGTATGTATGTATGTATGTATGTATGTATGTATGTGTATGTTGTGTATGTATGTATGTATGTATGTATGTAATGTATGTATGTATGTATGTATGTACGTATGTATGTATGTATGTAATGTATGTATTTATGTATGTATGTATGTGTGTGTGTGTTGTGTCATCCCTCGGACGCATTTTATTCTTCGCAATCAGACGAGCTAGGAGGCTGAAATTTTACGAGCGTAAGTGCTTGATTTTGACGTGGCCCAAATTCCCCGTGGTTTTGCTCGAATCTGAAACTGGCTATTAACCAAATCCGGTAATTACCGTTTGTGCAATTTTAGTACCTACAGGTGAGGAAGTGTGCAGGACAACTTGTGCCCGGGCGAGATTTATCCCTTCATCGGGGAGTCTTGCCCTGAAATTTGTCTGTTGACAAAATTGTCCAGTTCCCAGCTGCTTTCGCCCAATTTGTGTTACGATTCTCTTGCCTCAGGCTGGTCAGGTTTTTTTTTTTGTCGGCTTCCTGCTTAGCTGTTGTTGCTTCTTCTCTGGCCTCTCGTTTTCCCCCACCTGCAACTTGGGCCTTTTCCACTTATCACTATAACTGAATGTGTTTTGAATAAAAATCGTTCCTGGAATGGCAGGTTTTCTCGAGGCTCGAAGTGCGTGCCTGAAAAGGCGGCAGTTTCTGGCAGGGCGGGTTTTGTTCGGTCCGTATATTTTAGCGAGGGGAGTGGAGCAGGAAACTGATCATAATGCGCTTCGTGTTTTGACGGGCCCGCACGCGGGTACCACGCTTGCCCGGGGGTTGGGTTTGAGCTCACCAGTACCTACCTGGACGGGGAACATTCCCTTAAAATTTCAGCTTTCTAGCACCTCAGAATCCCGAGTTATGAATTTGCGCGGGAAAAGTTTTAGCGGGCCTGCACGCGTCACACGAAGCGCATTAGCGAGAAGTCGACCGAAAGCAAAGATCTCTGGACACGCTTTGTTAAAGCTTAAAGAGACAGGAAGATTGGCAAGTGTTATCCGTGTCAGCTGATTTTTACTGTTAAATCCGACTGGCAAATGAACGAAACAACGTTGGCCTCTCGAAATTGGGCAAGCTCATACTGCTCCTCCTCTGGTCCTGAGATCGAGTAACTGTTGTGCTTAACAGGGTATAGCTTCCGGGTGCGAAAAAGGCTACCTCAATCCCAGGCTAACCCAGACTCAAATCTTGTCCCCTTGCAACTACAACTGTTGTGCTTTCTTTTCAGGATTTGAGGGTGATCTATTCGAATCTGCGACGCCTGGATGTATTTCATAATCTCAACGATGCACCTCTTCGTGTAATTTGCTGTAACGCTCGCTACGAAAGGCATCCGGCCAATTTCATACTTTTCCGGTATTATTCTTTATTCTTTTGTGACTTTAAAAAGCGAGAATCTCAGTTTTGTATTGCGTTTTTCTCCTTCTGAAAAAGGCGTTTTTTGCAGGCAGGGGCAGATTGCAACTTGCTGGTATATTCTGCTCTCAGGATGTGTTTTTATGGACAAGCAAATCTACTTACCATGTGGCTGGTACCTTTTTCGTTTCACAACTTTTTTATAAGCAAATCATTTATGTGAGCTGATTGTATGTACCAAGATTTAGAAGGAGTGAGGAGATAATTCAGTTCCTGTACACGCAACACATTCCGATGGTGCAAACAGTTGCAGTTCTTTTAATTTTTTATTTGAAACTTACCCGACCTCGGATTGCCAGAAGTGATTGGCAAAGTTAAATTTAGGTGCATTTTGGACTGCAGAAGGTTTTTTTGCGCCGCGACTTAATTTTAGTTATTTTTTGATTATGAAAAAGGTTGTAAAAAGTAAAAAATAAAAAATGAAAACTGAATTGGAATGTTTCGGTCCATTAATTCACATACATTCCCATTCAGTGCTACAACAGGACCTAGTCAGTGTAACGGTTGCAGCAGAAGTATTAGAAACATGCAGCGTGGTGAATTAAAGAGAAAAATGAAGGAAATAAAATAAAAAATTTTTTGGGAATTTTAAAAGACTGCTTCCACCACTACTTTCTTCAGTACGATAATAAGAATACCTATTAAATAAGAATCGAATTTAATAGTGGAAGAAATTCTAATATCTCGGCAAAGTCGGTTCCGCTGAAGCATATCACGGTAAAAAACCCATGGCCCGTTTGCCGCTTGACATTTTGAGGAGAAAGAGGGAGAGAGAGGGAAATGTAATACTTTTTGATCATTTTTGCAGTTTTGGCAAGCGCAATGGATTAGATTATCGGCGCAAGAATGATTGTGTTGTTTTGCAGCCCTCCGAAATGATCGTGGTTTGTCTTTGATTGCATTGCAAAGCGCTTTTCTGGGTGGTAGCAGTACTGGCGTGCCTTCTTCAATGTGCATGATTTGGCCTCTAAGTTACCTTTGGTAAGCTGTTTTGCTGCTTGCAGATCGACTACCCGGATGTGAAGCATATAACGGTGAATCAGGAGCACATCTGCTCGTTGGCGAATGCCGGCCGCCTGCGCAATTCACTGTACGGTGCCGCAAATCCGGCACCACCAGCTGCAGTAACTGTTTCGCTACGTCCGAATGCCGCTTCGGCTGCATCAACATCCTCCGTTTTGCCACAGCGATTCCACAGGACAGCGAAGCAGCATCCCGCCTCGTCCGCCTGTGCCACTGATTCACGATGCGAGCGAAAGCACAGATCGTTCTGTCGTGAAAGAAATGACTTCCTTCCCAGCACTGCTGCATTTAGTTGCCCATCCACTTATAAGAGCCAGGTTAGCTCAGATTCCGTATATTACCTTGTTCATTTCATGCCTACCGTTGTTTCTTTGTGGCCATCTCAGAGCACACTGGAGCAATTTGAAGGTGTATCTGAATGGGCTGAGTGCGGACGCTGATGCCGCGTACGTGAAGGTGAAACATCGGACGCGCAAGTCGAACTCGCTTTCTGGCACAAACGGTGCTGCTGAGAGGTACGCACGCCTCTCGAGCACCACATCATCCAGTACGAACGAAGATGATTTACGTGGTTCGTTTCCCTCTTTCTCTTTTGAGTGACCGTTTACACGGCTCTTTCAAGCTCACATATTTTCTAAAACTTTGAAAAAATCTTACGGCAGCGTTCACTCGTGATCGGCTGCAGAGATGCTTGCACATCATCGCGTCAGTTGTGGAGGCTTGAGTGACAGATTGAGCTTGTATGGATCTGCCGTCTAAAGGGCGAGGCTCCAGGGAAGATTGTCGTTTCTAAGTTGGAAACGCTGAAATAATAGGGATAGGTTGAAAACAAGAGGCAGGAATTTTGCTTAAGGTGAAAACAAGAATTTGGACGGGAAAGTTGTGATCTGTTGAATTTTAAACACTTATTTTATTCGAAATCAGTGGCTTAATTTTTTTCTACTAATCTATCTCTCTATTTCTTAAGTTGATTCGAATAGCTAAATTATCCTAGATTTAAGTCGATAGTTAATTGGACAGGAAGAGCGACGGAATATGCGATGGAGCATAGGAAAATTTATTTCGGGGGTAATTTTGGGTAAAAATGGCTTGCACTGTTTTGGCAGCTTGAATTCCAATTCAGTTTTACGTAGAGCCTAGAAAGCAGGCAAAAATTATCGGTATTTGGGAAGTATCGCATAGTTTCGTCTATCGTATTTTCCATGACGCTATTTTCATTTTAAAATTATGAAGGGTTTTTCACGGGAATAATTCTTCCAGTTAAAAATGTTGGACAACAGCTGCCTCTTTTTGCTGTAATTTGTTGTGCTGCTAGTTAGCTTCTCTGGATCTGGGAATGTTTTTTAGGACTTCCAGAAACAGCAGTTGATAGCGAGGAAGACGATGAATCGTGCCCTTCCTATGACAGTTTCCATGAGTTGAAGGACAGTGTGCGTGAGTGCCTTGAAAAAGAACCATCTGAAAGAACAGCTGACGACATTTGCACGCTGCTGGTATGCATATTTCATGTG